TACATATCATTTTCGGAGCAAATGAAATATCGTCTTCAGGTAAAACTAGTTTACCTGAAAAGCTGAATAGAAAACCACGACATAACCTAACCTTCTTAGTATGTTAAGATATTACAATTAGTACTTAACCTTCCTATTAAGTTTTTTCAGGTAAAACTCTTTCAAATTTTTTTTTTTAATAGTAATGTCCTTCACGCAATATCTATATAAGGTACAGAACTGTGTTATTACCTTTGTGCTTTCCAAGCCTTTAATTAATAGATTAAATAGATCTGATATTGCAGGATTTAATATTCTGATATTACAGGACCCATACTGTAATCTACAGTTGTATAAAGCAGACATCCAAAATGTTTCTACTGGCAGTCAGAGCGTTTAACCCAGGAAACACACGGAAACTACGACGTTGGTACAACGTTCGAGCAAGTTTTAACACTTCCTAACCAGTTATAACAACCAATATAGCAAGTTGTAACAACGTTCTAATACGTCATAAACACATTAAGCCAAGATGTAACAACGTTCTAATACGTCATAAACACGTTAAGCCAAGATGTAACAACTTTATTACGAGTTGTAACAAGCGGAAAATAGAGACAGTTACGGTGTGTGTTTCCCGGGTGAAGCCTGTGTCGTATGGAATCAGTTAACATCCCTCAGAACATGTTTAATTTCCCTGCAAACCCACACACATATATAAAGTAACGGTTCCTATTGTTTCCTTATTACAACTTGTTACAAAGGTGTTACATCAAGTTTGTTACGACGTCTTAGACAGTGGTTACATAAGAACAAAGGTAACTGCAGAAGGCCTATTGGCCCATACGAGTCAGCTCCTATTTATAACCAGCCAATCCCAATACAACTTGCTCGATTTACAACCTTCTAACACCTTCTAAAAGTTGCTTCTTGTTAGGTGGTGTTCCAAATGATTCCAACGTTGCAGCAAGGTCGTAGTTTGGTCGTGTATTTGGCGGGTAATAGCCTCATTGGGAGCTAACAATTCCTAAGGTCCATCTGAACTACTCACTTTACATTATTGTTCCTCGAAGACCATTAGCGCAGAAAACATTTTCTTGCCTTTTCTCAGACATTTTCGGCAATCGGAAGTTTAAAATATGATCGGGGAACACTTTCCCTTCCTCGGATCCTATAGTTTCTCTCTCTCTCTCTCTCTCTCTCTCTCTCTCTCTCTCTCTCTCTCTCTCTCTCTCTCTCTCCAGTGCTTGTCTTGTACGTTAGTATCTCAGGATCAAATAATACTCAATTCTACATGCAGGCGAGGAGTCACAATAACGTGGCTGAAGTATGTTGACCAGACCACACACTAGAAGGTGAAGGGACGACGACGTTTCGGTCCGTCCTGGACCATTCTCAAGTCGAAATGATGTAGAATTGATCATCATCAATTCTACATCATTTCAATCACAGGCATTCCGTCTCGGGCTCTCTGGACGAGACGGCGCCATATCGAAGTCAAATTGTCTGCAGTTGCTATGCAATATAAACCGCTAACAATTCTGTTTTCAGCAGTTTGCTTTCCTCCACACGAGCGATAGTTCTATATTGCCAATTAGTATCTGAAAATAACTTTCTCCACTTCCTTCTCGCTTCCTTCACCACGATAACAGGCTGTTGCTGCTGCTATCATATATATGACAATATGCTTCTCACAGATGCCCCCTTGCTTGCCTAATTCCATATTTTTGGTGGTCACTGGTTGAATGGATTGTGGAGATCGTATGATCATTAGGTCAATCATTCAAACATATTCTCCATTTATTCAAACATATCCATTTCTCCTCCCCCACCACACCCACCCCACACTCACCCCCCACTCACCCCCCACACTACCCCTCATCTTCCCCCCCACACACGCATACACACGGTATTCACCACCACAGTAACTATTGTCAATTCACAGTATTTTCATCACTATTAACATCTTCAGACACCTGTCTTCACTCCCACACACCATCTCCCACACGCCCCACACACCCCCATCTTACCCCATCTCCACCCACATACACATCCCCCTGTGTCCCCACGAACACCCAACCTACACACATCAATTCAACCTTTTTCCACTACACAGCGACCATGGCTACTCTAGTGTGCATATATTCTAAGGCTACTTTCAAATAATAAGACTCTAAGGACTCCGCTACATATCTTCTATCTCCACTGACTTCATGAGGGGGGGTCACTATGTGGGCCGTCTACTCTTAAATGGGAGCAATGGGGCTGACCTCGACCTGCCTACGCAAGTGTACTATCCCACCCCCTCCTCCTCCTATCCCTATTCACAATGCAAGGGTTTGATGAGGCTTGCCCCAGGCGTCTATCCCCGAACCTTGGACAGACAAACGAACAGAAATAATGGTCTTTAGATATATAAAGAGGAATGTCATTGACTTGCTTAGAACTTTAGTAAAGCTAGCTAAATATCTATCAAAACTAATATCATAAAACAATTAGATACAATGAAAACAGCAATAATATAAGAAAATCTAATTGAATGATACATTTCCCCTAATTAAATTAGTCTGAACTGAGAAATATATATCGTTAGCAAACACAATTAAGACAATGCAACAACAGAACAAACATGGCAATTGTTTGCAACACAGTGTAGAAAAATACAGACCTGCAACAAAAATAAATTACATACATGAATGGCCTCACAGATAGTCATGTTTCACGAGGTCATGTTTCAGGCCCCTCAACACATCTATATGTGTCAGGGAGCCACATATATATGTATATATGTGGCTGGGTAAATAACGGGTTGTATATAGCAGCGGAGCACCAGCTACATGACGCCGTGACAATAGGGAGGATAGTGACACTACGTCACTAGAATAGTGAGACAATGTGACATACGAGTGTAACTATTATTGAGAATGGTGAGAATTGGAACTGATCACCTTATAAAGGTGTAAAGTACCATGTATACCCAATAGCCAGTACTCACCAGTTCTCAGTAAACTGTGGTACATCTTCAAGATGTTCCGCCTTACACTTAACACTTAACAATACTCTCTAAAGTAACACACTCCACTCAACACTTAACAATACTCTCTAAAGTATTCCTAGCAAACACCAACTGTTACTTTAGCAGTCTTCGAGTCTTAACTGTTTTGTGTGCTGTCGTTGCTTGGGAGTAGCATTGCACTTACCTCAAACAGTTTTCAGACTATGTTCATTCCATCCAGCGGTCGACCCCCAAAGATTAATTCATTAATTTTAACATGCTCGTCACTGAAAATATGAATTGCTTCGTAGATAACTATATATAAAGAGAGAGAGAGAGAGAGAGAGAGAGAGAGAGAGAGAGAGAGAGAGAGAGAGAGAGAGAGAGAGAGAGAGAGAGAGAGAGAGAGAGAGAGAGAGAGAGAGAGAGAGAGAGAGAGAGAGAGAGAGAGAGAATATATATATAGAATTGCGATTCGAGCAGAAGTCGTCAGCGAAGCACAGTTCATGAAAGATTCGAACGTAATAAACTGAGTCGTGTGTAAAAAAAAAAATCATTAAATAAACATGGGTTTTGGAGCTGCATGACATCACTTTCGCCTTTATGACGAGGACGAACTGTTTTGTTGATGAGGACGAACTGGTGGTATACGAAAGTACACCAGAAGTTCGTCCACGACTCACAACTGACGACGTTCGAACATTTCCCGACTTGGGAATCGCCGACGACCTCGGTTCGAATCCCACCTCTATATCTGCCCCAGCCACATTATACAAATAAAATATTGTTAGCCTTATCAACAGAAGCCAAATGCTCGTTAATCCAGTCGCCAAACCCCCTCTGTTTATGAATACAAACACGGTTTATACACGACTCACAACTGATGACGTTCGAACACTTTTCGAACAAGTGCTTCGCTGACGTCCTATATTTGAATCGCCGAGCTGTAAATGTTTCACTCACGTACTTCAAATACAAATAATCATTAACAGATCCTAAACACTTCACCCCATCTTAAACTACGTCTATCTGTACATAAAACTTTAATATATAACAATAAAAATATGTAAATGAGAACAAACATTTTTTTAATACACTACACGTTAAAATTGATGAATGCACCTTAGAGACGCTGCAAGTTAAACGATTCTGGCTTCATGACAGCTTGAATAACTGACAAGAAACTGGAAAAATTAACTAGTCTAAATTAGGTCTTAATATACACCAAACTCTAATATATATAATTCTGTTAATAGAATTATGAAAGCAAATACTGATTTTGAATGTAGAACGCTTTAATACTGATGAATGTGTCTTAAGGGTCGGCTGTAGCATGGATGAAGGTATATGTTCACTGGTTTGCAGGGTTCGTCTCTGAGCGTATATATATATATATACTGACATATCGGTACAGCAATCAGTGTATATAAGGACATGAGGGGAGGTACATCTCTCTCTCTCTCTCTCTCTCTCTCCTCCACTCCTCTCTCCTCATCTCTCTCTCTCTCTCTCTCTCTCTCTCTCTCTCTCTCTCTCTCTCTCTCTCTCTCTCTCTCTCTCTCTCTCTCTCTCTCTCTCTCTCTCTCTCTCTCTCTCTGTAGATTTCATTTATGCAAGAATAATCATAAAAAGAAACATGACTTGGTTATATCGTTCTGTCGTTTCATTTTCCTAGTGAATACTTACACATGTTCACGTAGATATGTCGCTCAGCTCTCAGTTTATATACCGTGGCATGTGAGGCGGCGCTCTAAAGGTATATTCACTCACAGATGGGGTTCAGCTCTTAGTATATATATATACTTTTCTGGCCAGAGATATTCCTGGGATGATATAAATAGGTGCAGTGTGTATTTGGTGCACCTCGCAGCGTATATCTATCTACATATAAGGTATATATATAAAGCAATTATGAATATACCGTAAGATGTGAATCTGCAGAGTATAATCACTTTACCAAGCACTTCAATACATTTTTGTTAAAATACATTTTGATCTTGTAGAGGAAATAAATGAAACTCATAGATAGTATTTCCACTCATTCTTACATTTATGTATCCAAACATTACAGTGACCTCTGTAACCTTGTCTTACAGAGACAACCTTGGTGAACAAACACACACTGATACAAAAGTTTGTAAAACAACATTCAGGAAACCCCCCTTTACTGAAGGAGTTTGTTCGAGCACTATACATTCTGAGGCTTATGATGGATATAAATAATAAACATAACAGTGTTATGTAAACTCACACAGTGGTAAACTCATGGAAACAGTTTACCAGCCATTGTAAATTTCACTAGACGAGTTGTAAACACGAACGAAAATAGAAAGCCTCTAGTGGGACTCGTGTGATTAAACAGGTCATTTGGTAGTAACACATTAATTGATAGTTTACAACATTGAATTAAACAAAAATATCTTGAGGCAGTATACAGGATGGGACAAACTAAACAAAAAAAAACAATAAGTATTAGTTATTCTGAATAAAATTACAATATTCGATATGTATTTTAAGTTTAAAATTTCAGACTAAATCTTAGCTTGGTGTATTTCAAACAAAGATTATCGTAAACAAAATTAATAATTGTGGGAAAAAATGTAAAAAACCAGCTATTTGGAAAACATTACATAACCTCGATTCAGAACTTAAATTAATAACACAGAAATAGAAATCACCTCTTAGGGTAGTAATCACTATGCAAGAAACTCAAGGTGATTTGCCATCAGAAATCACAAGAAGTAAATGAGTTCATTATTTATGAAACAATATATCAATCTCTATATATATCAATCTGTGGATTTTGGCTCAGAAAATTTCATGCGTCACGTGGCCATTGACGTATTGACGTCAGTGAGAGCCGTGATATTGACGTCGTGACTTGACGTCGTGACTTGACGTCGAGATATGCCTTCAAATATACTGCAAAAAAATTGACTTCAAATCGTTATCTGCTGAGTTGTGTGCACCAAAGCCGATAAGAATTGTATTTTATTTCTGAAATATTCAACGAATTGGAACTTCTGGGTCGGAAATTCTTTACGGTATGTCCTCTGAAAAGTAAAAATGGTTCTGACTGAAGCTTTGACATTTTTTTTCCACAATAAGAATTCTTCCCGGGTCAATTATGTGCGATGTTCAACACCTATAAAACTCAGGAAAAAAATTATATTTCGTCTGCAATTTATGCTATATAATATAATCTTATCCAACACAATTTTTGAGCATTTAACACTGGCCACATTATCCTCAACGCAGCCGTTTAAAATGGAAATTAAAAGTTTTAGAAAATAGTAGAATTAACGGCCTTTTAATCCAAATTCAAGAGTAAGTTTCCTAAAGGCATATATGTGATGAAATACAAAACTTAGATTTACATTAACCTGAAGCTTTGCGTGAAGAACATTGCATTTTTGAGGCTGCATATACAGAATATTGCAATACAAAAATGGTTTATAATGCACATGTAAGATTATGCATTTATTCAATGGAAGCTTCCAGCTTGAGACTCTAAGCATATTATACAAAATGATAAAACTCAGGGTTAATACACAATGTGTGAGTGTGTGTGTGTGTGTGTGTGTGTGTGTGTGTGTGTGTGTGTGTGTGTGTGTGTGTGTGTGTGTGTGTGTGTGTGTGTGTGTGTGTGTGTGTGTGTGTGTGTGTGTGTGTGTGTGTGTGTGTGTATGTGTGTGTGTGTGTGTGTATGTGTATGTGTTAGTGTGAACCAATTATATCGCTTAATCTGAATGCAGTGTGGAGAATTGAAGCAGACAGAGTAAGCAAGGCAGGATGACCCTGCTTATCAATGCCTTCAGAATCTGTTCCTCTCCGCCGCCAGGGAACCGAACCCGGTTGTCTCCTGTAAGAGGGCCGTCGGCCCCGGCTCTCACAAGGATAGCGATGAGGTAGAGACACCTCACGCACCCTTGCTATGAGTCCAGACGCCGAGTTCCTCCTGCTTCTAGTCCTTCTTCTGGGACGATGTACCTCACCTACGTCGCTTGGAATGAAGAAAGGCTCTCCAACACATGCCTGGGCTGTGAGGGGGTTGGCGTGGACCATCACTATACTGAGTACCACCGCCAGGAGTACTCCCCAGGCAGGGGGAGGCTCTGTTGTCGTCGCTCCGCCCGTGTGCATTGCTGCTGGGTGCTCGTCTGCTGAGATATAAATGAATAAATAACAATAATGAGAAAATGAGACTGTGAGGAGGCTCGAACCTTCCACCTCAGCATTGCCAAGTGCATTCACAGATTCGCTATATATATATATCACGTTAGTGTGATTTCTGTGTGGGATTAATAATAATAATAAGCATAATTTGCACTCAAGCAAAACAATGCAAAGAACGGAATACATATGTATAGTTCTGGTGTATACGTTGTGAATGTATATGTATATTCTCACAAAATATGTCGAAAACAAACAAAAGGGAAGATTTATTGTCACATTCTGATGTTCTCAGAGACTGTGTCAGTAGATTTGTGTTGTCTATAGAGACAGTTCTTACTCCTGGGAGATGAAACTGGAGAAGTGAGGTTGAATGAACTAAACAAGAAATGGCCAAGAAATAGACAAGAATTGAACAAGAAATGGACAAGAAATGGACAAGGGAAGAAATGGCTCTTGTGGATTTGTTCAAGAAATGAACAACTACCATGCCACCAGTACACACAGCCCCGCTCCTGTGCCAGGTAAGTCCAATAGAAGTAGTATACATTGATTGTTTCAAGCGTAGGTTAGACACATATATGTATGAGATTAGGTGGATATGATATATGAGCTACCTCGTATGGGCCAACAGGCCTTCTGCAGTTACCTACATTCTTATGTTCACTCCGGGCTCACCATAGCCCGTGCTACTTGGAACTTGTTGCAGACGAGGAGTCACAATAACGTGGCTGAAATATGTTGACCAAACCACACACTAGAAAGTGAAGGGACGACGACGTTTCGGTCCGTCCTGGACTCAATCGACTTGAGAATGGTCCGAAACGTCGTCGTCCCTTCACCTTCTAGTTTGTGGCTTGGTCAACATATTGGAACTTGTTGTTTCAAGTAACTGAATATAAAACCACAATTATATTAATTGCGACGACGTTTCGGTCCGTCCTGGACTCAATCGACTTGAGAATGGTCCAGAACCGACCGAAACGTCGTCGTCCCTTCACCTTCTAGTTTGTCGTTTGCTCAACATATTGGAACTCGTTTCAAGTAGCTGAATATAAAACCACAATTATATTAATTGCGCCACGTACCATTAAGGACGTGGAGGAGGGTCGTGGCAGGGTGCGACTTGAGAATGGTCCAGAACCGACCGAAACGTCGTCGTCCCTTCACCTTCTAGTGTGTGGTCTGGTCAACATATTGGAACTTGTTGTTACAAGTAGCTGAACATAAAACCATAATTATATTAACCATACCACGTACCATTGAGGACGTGGAGGAGCGTCGTGGCGGGATGCAGGTTGGAGGGAAGACAGGTATAGTTTCCCGCGTCTGCGGACTTGGCGTTGGAGATCACCAGAGTAGAAGTGACACTCATCTCACTGCCCTGCCCGCCCCGCCTCGACACCGTAAACTTCACTCTCGGGTTGTCGTACTCCAGCAGCCGCTCCCCAGAGTGGTACCAGAAGATGTAATCGGGAAGCTGAACGGTTGAGCTCACTTTGCACTCGAGACGAGCGGTGGATCCACTCCTCACGTACTTGTCCGCCGCGCCGGTCACCTCCACTTGCGGCACTGCGGAAGGGTGGACAGGATAGTTAGTTTTGGAGGCGGAAATGTGGAGAACGGAAGGTTAGGATGAGGCTATCACTTCCTGCAGGTCGGTGTTCAATCCCCCACGACCGTCCACAAGTGGTTGGACACCATTCCTTTATCCCACCCGTCCCATCCCAAATCCTTATCCTGATCCCGTCCCAAGTGATAAATAGTCGTAATGACTGGGCGTTTAACCCCCCCCCCCTGATAGTTTCCTCCCTCATTGCGGCTCTCTGGATGATTGGAGGATTACCTGTGGCACTGAGAATGATTGGAGGATTACCTGCGGCACTGAGAATGATTGGAGGATTACCTGCGGCACTGAGAATGATTGGAGGATTACCTGCGGCACTGAGAATGATTGGAGGATTACCTGTGGCACTGAGAATGATTGGAGGATTACCTGTGGCACTGAGAATGATTGGAGGATTACCTGCGGCACTGAGAATGATTGGAGGATTACCTGTGGCACTGAGAATGATTGGAGGATTACCTGCGGCACTGAGAATGATTGGAGGATTACCTGTGGCACTGAGAATGATTGGAGGATTACCTGTGGCACTGAGAATGATTGGAGGATTACCTGTGGCACTGAGAATGATTGGAGGATTACCTGTGGCACTGAGAATGATTGGAGGATTACCTGCGGCACTGAGAATGATTGGAGGATTACCTGTGGCACTGAGAATGATTGGAGGATTACCTGCGGCACTGAGAATGATTGGAGGATTACCTGTGGCACTGAGAATGATTGGAGGATTACCTGCGGCACTGAGAATGATTGGAGGATTACCTGTGGCATTGAGAATGATTGGAGGATTACCTGTGGCACTGAGAATGATTGGAGGATTACCTGTGGCACTGAGAATGCTTGGAAGATTACCTGCGGCACTGAGAATGATTGGAGGATTACCTGTGGCACTGAGAATGATTGGAGGATTACCTGCGGCACTGAGAATGATTGGAGGATTACCTGTGGCACTGAGAATGATTGGAGGATTACCTGTGGCACTGAGAATGATTGGAGGATTACCTGTGGCACTGAAAATGATTGGAGGATTACCTGTGGCACTGAGAATGATTGGAGGATTACCTGCGGCACTGAGAATGATTGGAGGATTACCTGTGGCACTGAGAATGATTGGAGGATTACCTGTGGCACTGAAAATTATTGGTGGATTACCTGCGGCACTGAGAATGATTGGAGGATTACCTGCGGCACTGAAAATGATTGGAGGATTACCTGTGGCACTGAGAATGATTGGAGGATTACCTGCGGCACTGAGAATGATTGGAAGATTACCTGTGGCACTGCGGTTCTACCTGTGTGAATAGACCTAGAGGCTCCGTTGACGTCCAGAGTTAATACCAGCTAGAGTGTGAGGTAGTTAGGCTACTTGACCTTACACTCGAGAGCTTCTGGGTTATATGACAAACTTGAACTTGAACTTGAACCCGTCAGACTCCCTGCGGGTTCAGTGGAGTCCCCCCTAAGGTGATGCAACCCAAGTCGTGGTGGTACAGGGGTAAGGAGTATGCCTTGATTGATCTATAGGTATCGATTGATTGAGTCACCTCATAGCATCAATCGATTTTATTATTATTATTGATTTTTGTTTTTGTTGTAATTTCAGGCATTTTTTTTACGTATAAATGTTTCGCTTTTATTTCATTTACATCAAAAGAATAGACAGAGATGTGCATATACACAGACCTTTTTTACACAGAGTAAGTATATATATATATAAAGATCTTTATACACATATATATAAACACAATCTACAGTATATACGATTTTTACACTGAGATTTTTATATATATATGCAGAAAAAACCACATGTGAAAAATAGAGAATGCTTAAGGCGTTTTCGGCTAATTCGCCTTCATCAGTGCAAAGTAGCATGAAAGTAGCATTCATTCTACTTTGCTCTGATGAAGGCGAATTAGCCGAAAACGCATTAAGCATTCTCTATTTTTCACATGTGGTTTTTCTGCATACTTGGATCAGTGTTTTTGTGATCATTGTTGCATATATATATATATATATATATATATATATATATATATATATATATATATATATATATATATATATATATATATATATGTATATATATATATATATATATATATATATATATATATATATATATGTCGTACCTAGTAGCCAGAACTCACTTCTCAGCCTACTATGCAAGGCCGAATTTGCCTAATAAGCCAAGTTTTCATGAATTAATTGTTTTTCGACTACCTAACCTACCTAACCTAACCTAACCTAACTTTTTTGGCTACCTAACCTAACCTAACCTATAAAGATAGGTTAGGTTAGGTTAGGTAGGGTTGGTTAGGTTCGGTCATATATCTACGTTAATTTTAACTCCAATAAAAAAAAATTGACCTCATATATAAAGAAATGGGTAGCTTTATCATTTCATAGGAAAAAAGTTAGAGAAAGTATATTAATTCAGGAAAACTTGGCTTATTAGGCAAATCGGGCCTTGCATAGTAGGCTGAGAAGTGCGTTCTGGCTACTAGGTACGACATATATATATATATATATATATATATATATATATATGTCGTACCTAGTAGCCAGAACGTACTTCTCGGCCTACTATGCAAGGCCAGATTTGCCTAATAAGCCAAATTTTCCTGAATTAATATATTTTCTCTAATTTTTTTCTTATGAAATGATAAAGCAATCCATTTCATTATGTATGAGGTCAATTTTTTTTATTGGAGTTAAAATTAACGTAGATATGTGACTGAACCTAACCAACCCTACCTAACCTAACCTAACCTATCTTTATAGGTTAGGCTAGGTTAGGTAGCCGAAAAAGTTAGGTTAGGTTAGGTTAGGTAGGTTAGGTAGTCGAAAAACAATTAACTCATGAAAAGTTGGCTTATTAGGCAAATTGGGCCTCGCATAGTAGGCTGAGAAGGGCGTTCTGGCTACTAGGTACGACATATATATATATATATATATATATATATATATATATATATATATATATATATATATATATGTCGTACCTAGTAGCCAGAACGCACTTTTTGGCCTACTATGCAAGGCCCGATTTGCCTAATATGCCAAGTTTTCCTGAATTAATATATTTTCTCTAATTTTTTTCTTATGAAATGATAAAGCTACCCATTTCATTATGTATGAGGTCAATTTTTTTTTATTGGAGTTAAAATTAATGTAGATATATGACCGAACCTAACCAACCCTACCTAACCTAACCTAACCTATCTTTATAGGTTAGGTTGGGTTAGGTAGCCGAAAAAGTTAGGTTAGGTTAAGTTAGGTAGGTTAGGTAGTCGAAAAACAATTAATTCATGAAAACTTGGCTTATTAGGCAAATTGGGCCATGCATAGTAGGCTGAGAAGTGCATTCTGGCTACTAAGTACGACATATATATATATATATATATATATATATATATATATATATATATATATATATATATATATATATATATATATGTCGTACCTAGTAGCCAGAACTCACTTCTCAGCCTACTATGCAAGGCCCGATTTGCCTAATAAGCCAAGTTTTCATGAATTAATGTTTTTTCGTCTACCTAACCTACCTAACCTAACCTAACCTAGCTTTTTTTGGCTACCTAACCTAACCTTACCTATATATATAGGTTAGGTTAGGTTAGGTAGGGTTGGTTAGGTTCGGTCATATATCTACGTTAATTTTAACTCCAATAAAAAAAAATTGACCTCATACATAGTGAAAAGGGTAGCTTTATCATTTCATAAGAAAAAAATTATAGTAAATATATTAATTCAGGAAAACTTGGCTTATTAGGCAAATCGGGCCTTGAACAGTAGGCTGAGAAGTGAGTTCTGGCTACTAGGTACGACATATATATATATATATATATATATATATATATATATATATATATATATATATATATATATATATATATATATATATATAGCACTGAGAATGATTGAAACAATATATACATAATATATATATATATATATATATATATATATATATATATATATATATATATATTATATATATATATATATATATATATATATATTTGTAGTTCGTTAAGGGGGCCAAACAACCCGCTGCTATCATCCATGGGGCCAGATTCACGAAGCAGTTACGCAAGTACTTACGAACGTGTTCATCTTTCCTCAATCTTTGACGGCTTTGGTTACATTTATTAAATAGTTTACAAGCATGAAAACTTCCCACTCAACTGTTGTTATTGTTATAAACAGCCTCCTGGTGCTTCGGAGCTCATTAACTGCTTAATAATTGTAAACAAATCCGCCAAAGATTGAGGAAAGATGTACAGGTTCGTAAGTGTTTGCGTAACTTCTTCGTGAATCTAGCCCCCCCTCCCCCAGGCTCTTTAAGAAGCTCATAACTACGTAGTGAAGATGAAAGGCAATTAAGACACACCTTTCCCTTATGTGTCGTATGAGGGGCCTCAACCAATGAGAAGCCGGAGTTTTGGAGTGGATAAGTAGGAGGCTTTCATCTCTCCATTTATCACATATAATCGGTGACAGCTAATTAGAACGCACAAAGTCGGGCTCCAATTAGGCCGTTAGATCTCAATACATTGAGAAGGATCGCGAACGACGGATCTGTCAAAGAGGATCGTTCGTCTGATATGTAACCTCATTATCACTTTGCAAAGTGGAAGGTGCCGACATTGAGGGGATTATCAGAGCAACGGTGAGTAAGAGGAGCAGTCAAGTGAACTGTAATTACTTGATGTACTTGCAGAGGGGGCTGAGTTATGGTTAATGGATTAAAATCTGCACTCTGGATACTCCCAAGCAATTGCCTTAGACTTTATTATCTATAAATGGTGATTTAGTTGAACCTAACAATTAGATTAATCAATTAGATTGATTAGATTAATTAGACAATTAGGTGATCCTCGTGCTAGTTAAGTCACTTACAAACCACATTAAAAGTTCAAAATAACATTGCATTCACTTTCACCCTGAGGAGGCTCGAACCCAGTACCACCGGAGTGGAAAACGGGAGTTTGACCGACCAGTAATAGGCACAATTTGTAGGAATACCAGTTCAACTGGCTCTCACAAGCACCAGGCATCGGCTGAATGATTACAAGCACCAGCTGGATGATTACAAGCACCAGCTGGATGATTACAAGCACAAGCTGGATGATTACAAGCACCAGCTGGATGATTACAAGCCCCAGCTGGATGATTACAAGCACCAGCTGGATGATTACAAGCACCAGCTGGATGGTTACAAGCCCCAGCTGGATGATTACAAGCACCAGCTGGATGGTTACAAGCACCAGCTGAATGATTACAAGCACCAGCTGGATGATTACAAGCACCAGCTGGATGATTACAAGCACCAGCTGGATGATTACAAGCACCAGCTGAATGATTACAAGCCCCAGCTGGATGATTACAAGCACCAGCTGGATGATTACAAGCCCCAGCAGAAAGCAACAAGTAACCGTGACTCACCAATGACGTTAAGATGGACCAGCATTGACATCTTTGGCTCGGTGGAGATCTGGCACTCATAGGTGCCAGCGTCGCGGTCCTGGACGTACTTGATGACCAGCGTCCAGGTGCCTGTATCAGGGGTGAAGTGTACGGTCAACCGCTCGTCCCTGACGAAGGTGTAGCGGTCCACCGTCAGGATGTCCGCGTCCCTCTGCCTCACCCAAGACACCTGTAGGAGGGACACCCAAGTCAAGACACCTGTAGGAGGGACACCCAAGTCAAGACACCTGTAGGAGGGACACCCAAGTCAAGACACCTGTAGGAGGGACACCCATGTCAAGACACCTGTAGGAGGGACACCCAAGTCAAGACACCTGTAGGAGGGACACCCAAGTCAGGACCCTGAATGCATTGATTAGTTAACACACACACACTGTAAATATGATTTAAAACGTGTAATGGTATTTTTTTTACACAATGAGGCAGATAAGATTATATCTCTGTGAATGATTGGAGAGGAATAGGTTCATGTGAACTATCTACAGTGTGTTTTATATATTCGTATAGTTCAAAGTGATGTTTAATATTATTTAAAACGTGTAATGGTATTTTTTTTTTACACAATGAGGCAGGATAGATTATATCTCTGTGAATGATTGGAGAGGAATAGGTTTATGTGAACTATCAGAGAACGTTCATCAAGTGCTGGAAATAATGATTAAATTTGTCGAGAAAGCTATTTTAGATATACCCGAAGGACTTCATATCTAGCACCTCTCATTTCATAAGTACATAAGAACAAAGGTAACTGCAGAAAGCCTCTTGGCCCATACGAGGCAGCTCCTATTTATAAGATTTTTGAGACATGAGATTTCATTCTCATAAATCAGCTTATATCTAATTAAGTCGTAACATCTGCATAACAAACCAATTTACATGACCAAATCTACCAGTTTACAAGATAAATTCTACCAGTTTACATTGAATTTAAGACAATCTAATTCATCAATGTACGAGATAACATAGGATTTAACGATGAATTCAAATAAACAACAAAGCTGCCCAGGGCACAAAATTAAAGTTAGACGTTTAATAAATTAATAAAGAATAAAGAACATGTCAGGAAAGATGATAATAACTCATAATTAATAATGAATGAAATGGGTAATAAATCCCCCCCCCCTCCTAAAAAAACAAATTAATACAAACACAAAAAAATATTACATCCCTTCACTATTAACACCTCAAACTTTGGCGTTTAAGAAGAAAAAAAATAATAAAAACTTAAGTAAGAAATACAATTTTGAGTTACAAAAAAAAATACAAAAAAGTCTGTTTTAGACTTTTGTGGATTTTGAGGCACTAACCGACTTGTCTCCAAGCTGATTGACGGTGCAGGGAAGGTAGGCGACGGTGTCCTGGTGTACGGTGATGTTCAGGGGCTGAGGGCTGGGGAAGTAGGGACCCATGTACAGCCCTGTGCCCGCCCCTGCCTCCCCCACCATGTTCCCTGGGGGAACAGAACCATAAGTAAGATAGATTCAATGAATGATTTGTTGGGCGTGTAAGGACTGGTGTGCTGTTGGTTTTGGTAAGAGACTATTTCTTGTACCGAGATCGATTCCTGCCTGGGTACAATATATATATATATATATATATATATATATATATATATATATATATATATATATATATATATATATATATATATATATATATATATATATATATATATATATATATATATTAGTATATTTTGGTAGCAGTCTTTCCTGTAGACATATATATTAAATATGACCGAAAAAGTAAGATTAATAATTCTAACACGAATTTTCTCAATCTTTCGTACATTACGCTTCACTGTTGGAGGTAAATCAAAAATCACTTCTCCAAAATTCATTTTTATTTCTAGTCTGACGCGACACGGGCGCGTTTCGTAAAACTTATTACATTTTCAAAGACTTCACAAATACACAACTGATTAGAACGTATCTCTGATTTTATATCTACATTTGAGTGAGGTGGGAGGGGTGATGTGGCATTAACACAAGACAGAACAAGAGGGGATATTAATAGGGTATTAAAAGTATCAACACAAGACAGAACAGAAACAATGGGTATTGAATAGAAGTGTTTGTAGAAAGCCTATTGGTCCATATTTCTTGATGCTTCTATATTGGAGCGGAGTCTTGAGGTGGGTAGAATATAGTTGTGCAATAATTGGCTGTTGATTGCTGGTGTTGACTTCTTGATGTGTAGTGCCTCGCAAACGTCAAGCCGCCTGCTATCGCTGTATCTATCGATGATTTCTGTGTTGTTTACTAGGATTTCTCTGGCGATGGTTTGGTTATGGGAAGAGATTATATGTTCCTTAATGGAGCCCTGTTGCTCCAACAGGGCTCCATTAAGGAACATATAATCTCTTCCCATAACCAAACCATCGCCAGAGAAATCCTAGTAAACAACACAGAAATCATCGATAGATACAGCGATAGCAGGCGGCTTGACGTTTGCGAGGCACTACATATATATATATATATATATATATATATATATATATATATATATATATATATATATATATATATATATATATATATATATATATATTTACACCTTGATTTCCAGACGTAAGGAATGCAATTAACAAGACAATTTTGCGAATTAAGGAGGTCGTTGATTTAAAAAAAAATTGTAATTAAAATGTCAGAATTTTTTTGAAGTAGTTGTACAAAATGTGTGGGTTTTTCAGAGCTGTGAGTAATGACAAAAATCCGCCAGGCCTACAACTTTACTGACGGCATTTAAAATGATTAATTATGCATTGTAAACAGCATTCAATCATTGTCGATTGTTTTAAAACAATCGGGGTGTTGTTGTGAGCCAAGCAGTGTGTGTGTGTGTGTGTGAGTGTGTGTACTCACCTATTTGTGCTTGCGGGGGTTGAGCTTTGGCTCTTTGGTCCCGCCTCTCAACTGTCAATCAACTGGTGTACAGATTCCTGAGCCTACTGGGCTCTATCATATCTACATTTAAAACTGTGTATGGAGTCAGCCTCCACCACATCACTGCCTAATGCATTCCATCCGTTAACTACTCTGACACTAAAAAAGTTCCTTCTAACGTCTCTGTGGCTCATGTGAGTACTCAGTTTCCACCTGTGTCCCCTTGTTCGCGTCCCACCAGTGTTGAATAGTTTATCCTTGTTTACCCGGTCGATTCCTCTGAGGATTTTGTAGGTTGTGATCATGTCTCCCCTTACTCTTCTGTCTTCCAGTGTCGTAAGTGTGTGTGTGTGTGTGTGTGTGTGTGTGTGTGTGTGTGTGTGTGTGTGTGTGTGTGTGTGTGTGTGTTGTGTGTGGTGTGTGTGTGTGTGTGTGTGTGTGTGTGTGTGTGTTTGTGTGTGTGTGTTTGTACTCACCTATTTGTGCTTGTGGGGGTTGAGCTTTGGCTCTTTGGTCCCGCCTCTCAATTGTCAATCAATTGGTGTGTGTGTTTGTGTGTGTGTGTGTGTACTCACCTTACTGGGCGTTGAGCTACGGCTCTTAGGTCCCGCCTCTCAACCCTTTATCAACTGATGTATAGGTTCCAGAGGAAACTACTGAGAATTGACATATTTACATTTAAACTGAGAGAAAGTAAGACAATAAATGGAAGCTGAAAACGCATATGGATTGAAAAACTCTATGGAAACTCTCGTAGCCTCTTCGAGTAGTCAACAAGAGGAATGCACTGAAAGAAGAAGTTGTAGAAGCCTCGAACAAATCCACATTTTTTTTTTTTTTGAGATATATACAAGAGTTGTTACATTCTTGTACAGCCACTAGTACGCGCAGCGTTTCGGGTAATGAGGGTTCGAACCTACATCCGAGAGACATAATCACAATAACACGCTATTGTGATTTCTGTGTGTATTGTAGAAGCCACCTTTATCCATAACCTTAGAGTCGACAAAGAATTCCAACATTAGGACAGGTAAATGATAACGAAATGGGCACAGGGATAGTAGACGAGATGTTAAAAGCTAGTCTTCACTTCCCCGTAGACCATGGCTAGTGCATACGGGAGGATAGATATTTACCTGTTAGGTAAGTACCTAGTACGTGATGGTTGAGCCGCACGGCACATGATAGTTAGGAAAGACAATAGATGACGGGTGAGCTACTCAATAGATGATGGATGACCACTACAATAGATGATGTATGGCCAACACAACACATTACGGTTCCCTAAACTGCAGCAAAATCTATTTCGACAGCTGCTCCTGCGGTCAAGTGAGAAACAGAGACATTTATTTTATATAACAATTAATGACAATTGGAACTATTCTCTCTGCAGGGAGAGAGAGAGAGAGAGAGAGAGAGAGAGAGAGAGAGAGAGAGAGAGAGAGAGAGAGACAGAGACGAGAGAGAGAGAGAGAGAGAGAGAGAGAGAGAGAGAGAGAGAGAGAGAGAGAGAGAGAGAGAGAGAGAGAGAGAGAGAGAGAGAGAGAGAGAGAGAGAGAGAGAGAGAGAGAGACAGAGACAGAGACAGAGAGACATTTATCTGTAGGTCAGGGCTAACTTACCTAAGATAAGAACGACAACACACAGTACTAGCGACCAGCTCTCACTCTCCATGCTGGTCTCGATCGATCCCCCGTCTCCCTGACGTTCTTCTATCACTCCTTCTCTCGTTAATCAACTGTTTATTGACCGTCTTCACTTAAATTTAAATTTTAAAGTTATAGTCTTTAACAAATATGTCTTATTTGGTTTTGCTGCATATTATCTTCCATTTTTCCACTTCACGTATTCTTATTTTATTATTTTTTGCTCCATTGCTAGCTTGAGTATTTTTATTATCTACTTTTCCTCTTATTATTAGTGTATTTATGAGAATTCTCAGGAAGAGGAACGACTCCTCCTCATTTTGCACTTTCTCATTACTTCATATTTTCTGTTAAGACACCAATAAATGGCCCTCAAACACGGGGTCTGACACCCCCACATCTTCTCTGCTTAAGCAACTTCAGACCACATCCCTGCATCTTCAGCAGCAGGGAGGATTAAAGGATTAAATCCGATAAATCTTGATCAAATCCGTGCATCATCAACACCGATGGAAACGGATTTATTTCCGAATCCGCTCTGCTCTGGCCGTCAGCACTGATGAAAGGCGAATTCTTACCAGATTGTTGCATCATTAAGATCGAGAGGAGAGGAAGCAGCAGCAGCAGCATCCGGATGTGTTGGAGGCTGGGGAGGACTTAGCATCATTCCTCTCCTGTCATTGTTCTTCCTAGAACTTGACCATCTGACCAGGAAAGGAATTTTCATTCTGAAAAAAAATAATTGATGTGTTTATTACGTTAGATCGCTGGGATTTACTTAATATGAATACTTACTTTTAATAACAGATTAATCATTGGCATTGGTACACGTTTTTAATGAAATGAACATATGGGGGGGGGGGGGTAATATTGATTTGTTCATCATTTATACCTAATTTTGCCTCGACCTTCTAACTTGTTATAGATTCCAAGCAATTAATATATAATTTGCAGCAATAAACAATATGTTGCAAGAGATATTTCCAATGAGCTATAGAGAAAAAGTAATTTCACTAAAGGAGTTTATATATATAAATATGGAAATGTCCTCATTTCTATCCACATGAGTGGATGTGGAGAGAAATAATGTCAGTGGAGATGCGTATGATGTGAAGACATTTAATGAAGAGTGTATGAGGCCTTCTCGCTCTCATCACAGTGATGAGGCGAGACAGGAAAGGTGTGTGTGAGGGGAAGATGAGGTGAGGATGGTGTTTGTGAGGCTTGACGTTGAGTGTGTGTGTGTGTGTGTGTGTGTGTTTGGAGGAGAGGGAGCGTGAGTGACAACGGGAAATGAAGGATAAGTGTGATGACTCCAGATTAGGAGATTGCTGGGGGAGATAGTGTGGTTTTGTGTGGGTGGAAAAACAAGGAGATGGCGTGGCTTTGTGTGGAGGAAGAGAGAGAGATGCCAACCACTTGGGCTGAACGGTAGAACGACGGTCTCGCTTCATGCAGGTCGGCGTTCAATCCCCGACTATCCAAGTGGTTGGCCACCATTAGGGGGGTAGAAATAGCCTAAGCTACTCTATCCCTTTGAGATGTATTTTTTTCTTGTCTCAATAAACATACTTGAACTTGAACTTGAGAGAGAGATAATGTGGCTTTGTGTGGGGGAAGAGAGAAAGATAATGTGGCTTTGTGTGTGAGAAAACAGGGAGATAGTGTGGTTTTTTTTTGGGGGGAAAACAAGGACATGGTGTGGCTTTGTGAGAGGGAAGAGAGAGAGAGACAGTTTGGCTTTGTGTGGGGGAAGAAAGAGAGATAGTGTGGTTTTGAGTGTCATAATATTCGGTGTAAGGTCAACATAATTATGTAAACACAAACATGAGGTGTTGCACTCGCCATGGCTTGTTTGTAAATTGAAAACTCATCCTAACTAGCATGAAAAAGAAACATTATGAACCACAGAAGAATGTGAACCACTTTTTTGAGCGCTTCGACTGGTCAATAACACTCAAGTGTTCGTTTACCCTCCCTATTCCCCCAGTAGTAATTATAGGGACTTGGTTTTGAAGTTATTTAAAACAAATGGATTGATGTTGACCAGACCACACACTAGAAGTTGAAGGGACGACGACGTTTCGGTCCGTCCTGGACCATTCTCAAGTCGATTGTGACATTCACAATCGACTTGAGAATGGTCCAGGACGGACCGAAACGTCGTCGTCCCTTCAACTTCTAGTGTGTGGTCTGGTCAACTTACTTCAGCCACGTTATTGTGACTCATCGCCTGCAAATGGATTGATGGTGTTATAGGGAATCAAATAGACGAAGAGTTATGGTATATTGAGGCAAGAAAAGCCTTTAAACTTACTAACAAGAGTCAGAATTCGCCTTTTTCTGTCCTTATTTGTTAGAAATAAAATAAAAATTAACAATCCTGGAAATAAGTAGTCGTCACTGCTTCTAAATTTCATTAGCATATTTCAGAACATTTAACAAAATTCGCACGCTATAAAAAAAAAATTAACGTTAAAATAAATTCGCGTGGATGATGAAGAGAGTGAACAATGTGATTCACATAGTATCTTGAGGTTATCTTGAGATGATTTCAGGGCTTTAGTGTCCCCGCGGCCCGGTCCTCGACCAGACCTCCACCCCCAGGAAGCAGCCCGTGACAGCTGACTAACACCCAGGTACCTATTTCACTGCTAGATAACAGGGGCATAGGGTGAAAGAAACTTTGCCCATTGTTTCTCGCCGGCGCCCGGGATCGAACCCGGGACCACAGGATCACAAGTCCAGCGTGCTGTCCGTTCGGCCGACCGGCTCCCTC